CTATAGATGGACCTATCCTGGATTTCATATAAGGAAAATCATACCCCAAACAAATCTCAACAATATAGGAAAGCTTCCATCCAAAAGCAAGCAGAAAATTATAAAACCTAGAACAAATTAAAAATGGGTCAGAGGGAAAACTAGATGTGCTTAATTCACTTTCTGATGCACTCTGAGAGTAAGGCTACTCACATTCCTGGTCAATGGTTTGAGGAAATTCAGAGGTGGCTTAATCCAAATGGGGATTGGGGGCTTTCATTGTCCTTCATAGCTTTCTGCAAACCAGATGCTTTGGATTTAAGCTTGAATACAATTCCCTCCTCTGATTTTGGATTTTATTATTTTAAATCCTTGGATCACACAGGCTAGTGTGCTTCTTCGATGTAGGCTTATCTGATAATTCCCTGAGATAGCTGCTTTAAGACAAGCTTTTAAGACTCCAGCCACTATTATTTCTGATAGCAGGGCACCGTCTGCTTTCTTCACCACTCTCTGTTAATGCAGCTGTATCTTCGGTGATCTCTTCATGATGATACTTAAGTATCAAGCCACTTCATAAACATAACTTTAGGATGCACTGGGGAAAAATCATGACTCATATTATTGTGATATTGCTTTATTGCAGTGGTCTGGAATGAAACCAGCAGTCTCTCTGAGTTATGCCTGTGGTGGATCTACATTCTGAAGGAAAGAACATGGAATTTTTGGGTTATATTCTTGGCAAGTGGTAAAACTACACTTTGAACAAAACCCAGAACCCACTGCTGTCAAATCATTTCTGAGTTATAGCCACCCATAAGGAGGATTCCCCCAGCTTTGTCAGTCTTCATGTGAGCAGACAGTCTCATGGTTCTTCTGAAGGGCAGTTGATGATGAATTGTAGACCTTTCGTTGGCAGTTCAATGCTTACCTGATGAACAGCCTCCTTAGCAGTTGAATCAGGACTACCTAAAGCTTGCAGTATTTACACTCTTTCTCTTAGGCAATGCTGTCTCTATCCGGGTCTTGCCTTTCTCTCCATTTCAAAAATTCCCAGCAAAACGGCACGTCTATCACAACACAAATGTCAAGGTTCCATGGGGAGGCACAGTGCTGGTGTGATAACCATGCAGTGATAAAATTTTCAAACACCCAACCAAGTTTTATTTATTACTATGCTGAAAAGTCATTTATTTAGTTACCAAAGTGCCCCTCAACAATCTGCTTTGACCCAACAAATAAACTACATTAAGTAGGGTGTGTTCCCATCAGGCTGAGCCTTGCAAAATAAAATCACTTGATGAAATGATTCCCCTTTGCTTCTTTCTGGCCCATCTCTGATTTTGCTAGTGTTTCACCTCATCAACAAGATCTCCAGGCCTGTGCTCATGTCAACACAATGCTTCCTGCAGTCTCTGAACCTCCAGTAGGCAGTTTTCTCTCACAGACATGAAATAAACGAGCAACCCCACCAATGTCCAATTCAGTGAAGACATTTCTAGTGAAATAAAAGCTGCCAGTCTCACTGGACTGCAGATGGAGTACGTGGATTTTTGTTGGCAACATGGGAAGACACATAGCCTGTCTTCTGGCATTTTATTACTTATTTAAGTAAACTCAGATTTACCGTCTCACAATTCAAAAGATCAGAAATCCAAAATGGGTGTCACAGGATTACAATCAACATGCCTTCAGACCCATGTTCCTCCTGGAGACTCTAGAGAGAATGTTGCTTTGCCTTTACCAGCTTTTAGAGGCTCCCCGCCTTTCCTGCAGCATGCTCCTTTCTCCAACTCTAAAGGCAGCCACGTAACATCTTCCAGTCTCTCCTTCTGTGCCCTCTTCTCGTGTCAACACATCTTCTTTCACTCTGCTTCTATTAGAAGAATTCTAATTAGAAGAATCTTCTATTAGATTCTATTAGAAGAATCCTTGTAACTCTACTGAGTCCACCTGGATGATTAAGGATCATCTATCTCCCCACCTCAATACTTTCTGAACAGTTTTAGTGAACATGATTCATATGTCATTCATTTCAATAGCGCAATCATATTTGAGTTGTACAATCACCAGCACAATCAATTTTAGGAAATTTCTTCTTCATTCTTGTGTCAGTCAGGGTACTTTAGAGAAACAAATCCACAAAAACTCATGTATAAGAGTTTTATATAAAGGTTAAGTGCACATCAAGAAAACATTCCAACCTAGTGCTGCTCAAGCCCACAAGTCCAACATTAGCCCATATGTCTGACATCAATCTACAAAGTCCTCCTCAATTTCACAAAATACACACACTATGAAGCCGACCGCAGGAGGAAAGCCGAATTAGTGAGCATGTAAGCATCTCAGTGCTGGCAAGGGTCTCCACACAGCTGCAACAGCACACAGGGCTGCATCGGGGTAGGTCCATGCTGCTTCTCCTCAGGGATGTCTTGCAGGAAGTCAGCCTTGCCAGCTGAAGCAGGGAACTGGCTAAGGCAGCTGCACCCTGGTCTGACCATCACAAAGCAAGAGACCCGAGAACTAGATAGGCGAGGCTCACCAAGCCACTTATTCCTCTGCCCTTCAATTAAGCCCACATGTGTTTATCATCCAGGTTGGCACCATAAACTAACTAACTTAATTATACTCACTGTTGTTAACTCCTCATTACCCATCAACCTCTTGTTATGTTCCTAGGAAAGTATTCATCCAGTTGCCATCTCTATAGATTTACTACATTGGATTTCATATAAAGAAAAATATACGCAATCAAAACAAAAAGAAAAGCCAACAATGACAGAATAAGAGAGAAACCGCAACTGAAAAGAAAGCAGAACATATTGAACACTGGAACACTGGATCAAAAGGGTGATCAGACGTCAAGGTGTCACATTTTCACTTAACTGCAATGGAAGTAACCCATGCTACAACGCACTCTATCTGACAACAAACTCCTTTCCACGGCTGGTCTCTATCTGTAGATTCATCAGAGGTTTAATCCACACGGGGGACCCAGTTAATAGGGTCTGGACTTCCACTGTCCTCCACGACCTCTGCAAACCAAGTGTTCAGAAGTTAAGTTCTAAGACCATTCCCTTCTCTGGATTTAGGTTTATTTATACAATCCTTGGATGACATAGGCCAGTGTATTTCTTCCATGTGGACTTAGCTGATGCCTCGTTTAGATGGTTGCTTGTTTTAAGACAAGTCTTTAAGACCCCAGATGCTGTTCTTCCTGATAGCTATGCATCATCCTAGCATTCAGTTTCAAAGACTCCTGAAAATGCAATCAGCTTTTACTTTAATATTATATTTATATATATTTTTATTTCCAAAAGACATCCAGGTAAAAACAGAACTATAATTATTTTGTTGTTCAGCCTCATAAGCTTTGATGTATCTGCTTCTGGTATATTTGGAGAAGACCTCTCCAAAAAGGATTCCTATTCTAAACCCACCTTCTTATGCGTTGATATTGTTATTAATGCTATGCTAATAGACAAAAAGCTTTCACAACTAAACAAAGACATATCAGTTCGGTAAAAGGGTGTATTCAGGTGAGGTTAAGATATCTGAGATCATCTGGAATAGGCACAAGTGAAAAGAACCAGTAGCCCTCCATCTCCTTTCCTGTTTGCCTATTACGCACCTCCACCTCATCTCTGTCCCTTGGCACCATGACCTGAGATTGTGTGGCTGAGCGGAAAGGTACATGTTCTGCTGGGGAATGGCCAGATGAGGTAGTCTGGCCTCGATCATCTCTTCTTCTAATTTGAACACCGAATAGCTAAACACTTACTTACCATCTACTAGTGATGCCAAGTAGATATACTTACAAATATATGTGTGTGTGTGTATAAGCACACACACATATGTATATACCACTCACACACTCACAAACCAAACCCACTACCATCAAGTCAATTTAAACTCATGGCCATTCTACAGGACAGAGAAAAACTGCTCCACCACAAGGTTTCAAAGACTAAATCTTCATAAAAGCAGACTGCCTCATCTTTCTCCCCAAGAAAGGACGGTGGCTTTGAAATGCTCACCCTTCCATTTGCAGCCAATTGCTTAACTACTGTGCCACCAGGACCCCAATATAGTTAATTTCAATATCACTTTCATAGGCAGGCAGCAGGCTTTGTACCAAAGTACCTGGTGAGTAATCAGAGACTACTGAACTGATTGAAATCTGGAAGGTTAGAAGTAATCAGCTGAGAAATATGCTCTCATGTTTTTGGCTTTGTTTTTAAAGTTTTGTCAAACTTTCTTTGTGTCCTGGCCCACCTTTTCATTCTTTCAAAACTGAGACTCACCCTTTGCATTTCAAAAACGTACCCCCTGAAGCGTAAGTCCTGGGAGAGCCATGCGCTTTCACTACAATGCCCGCCCTGACATGACAAGTGTGCAGTCCAGACGGCTGAATTCACTAGACTACAGCATTGTTTCCAGCCTAGGGAAACCTTAGATGAACAGAAAGTAGACTCCTGAAATCTGCCTAACGGTTGCCCCAGGAGAATATGTATACCAGTAGAGACAACAAATAAAGAGACAACACCATTTGGAACTTTGTTGGAAGGGGCAACACTTAATTTTCCTCATCAATCCACATACAGTCAGATTAGAGGGAAGGAAGCCTTGGAACCATTTGTCACATTTGAAACAGGGTAAGATGTCTCTTTGAAACAGCCACCCCCCCCACAAACCGAAGGATACACCCCAGCATCCGTGGGGCCAGAGGGAGCAGTGTCTGAAGCAGAGGGTGGACCCCGACCAGAAAACGCACTTCCTCCACGATGACCGGAGCTGCACCCATGTGTTAACGACGGAAAAGGATCAATTCAAGTTCCTTAAGTAGAAAGTCTCTGAGTGGGCAGGTGACTCCTGTTAAAGGCCATGCTTATTAAAAATCAATAAAAATATGTTTGAGTGCATGATGGGAAAAAAACCCTCCAGAAAAACAGCAAGAATCCCAAGGCAAATCCTAAAAATAATATTTCGTAACCTCCAGCACAGAGACACAAATACCACCATAGAATTATTGGTACTTTATTAACAATGTGGCTTACAATTTTTTTTCTTCAAGTAAAAAGGGTTCTTTTCATTTAGAATAAAAATTAAAATATAACTCTGATATAGATTTTCATTTATTTACATGAAAACATATATACAGAATACAATCTTACAACAAATCAATTAACATGCCCTTTGTCCTGTGAATTTCAAAAGTAAAAACACCAATTTTCCCCTTTAATGCACCAAAACATACACAAGATATGAATCAAATTTCAATACAAACTATTCAAACTGGAATGGCAAATAGTAAAAGGGATTTCAGTATTCACAATGAGGAGTAAGTTATGCTTCTAGACATCATGCTAGCTTCCATTTTAAGCAAGGAATGAAATCGTCTTTTTTTTTTCCTGTCATTTAAAAAATGTGTCTTACATTTTCTATCATAAGATCATTTTCAGCAAAAGATTGTCCTAGATCTTCACTGGTTCTTTAGTGCTTCTTTCTGGCCCTGCTCTGCCCTGGCTCCATGGTATCTCACACTTGTATCTAATGTGAGATTGTATCACATTGTATCTAACGCATCTAATCTACACGGTATCTAAGATTCCCTGGTGCCCAATCTTAGCTATTTCACATAAAATCAGTAAGATGAGGGGGAAGAAAATGGACCAGGATATCCTGCGACTATTTGTCATTTACAGCAGGGAATTGTTCAACCTCAAGTCAAGGCAACACCATTCATCTGCAACTGAAATGTTGAAGCACATGAAGTGGGCCAAAGAAAGCACAATTCGATTTTCTCTTCACAGCTTTGCCATTAAAAAGATAAAAGAGCAGCCAATGCCAGCAATGAAAACTATGAGAATCAGTCAATGTTAAAGTTCAACCAAGTTAAGACAATTTTATATATTTTTTAAATAGTAAAGAACAGTGAATGAAAAAGACAGTAGGTGCCAACAGAACTTCCCTTGCTATTTAATTATTGCACCAAAGAAACAAGGGGAACATATATCTCGCCAGTAATTTCTTTTTTCGAAACTTCTGATCACCTAAATTCACTATTTTTCCCTTCACAGAATTGCATGCTTGATCACAGTTTTATAAAGAGAATAATTGGAGCCTGGATTCATCATTTTCGCCAAAACACAGCTCTGATGGTCAAGCCACAAGAAAGGTTTCAACACTATTGTTTTCATTTTCATTCTATATACAGAAATAAATATAAATGGGTGCTCTACAAAATAAGTATGAAAACCCCTAGTGCTTCCAAAACTCAGGGAGGAACAGCTCTGACACAGGGGTGTTTGGTATAAGACAAAAGGCAAATCCCAGAACTCGCCTAATGCAGCACACAAGACTCTATACACAAATTAGGAAACTGGGGCCAAATCTTCAAAAGGGTAATCAACACCAACCTTCTAGAGAGTGCAGCGAGGGTCAAAGGTGGCAGTGTTAGGAGTCTGGACCGTTGGACAAGGAACATATCGGAGTGAACACAAGAAATGATCTTTCAAAGAAGGTAAAGCAACAAAATAGCTGCTAGAGCTCAGGGACTACATGTCAAACGTTCATCAAATGGATCTCACTGGAAAATACTGGATGCGTCCTCCATGCCTTGAAGCTCCCTGGAGAAGGAGACTGTATTTCTAAAGAACAGAGAAATTCTTCTGCGATGCCAGGCACACCCTGCTCTTTTGTGTTTTCATATTTGTATTTTGTACTTATGGTTTGTGTGTACGTGTGTGTGCGCGTGTGTGTGTGTGGTTTGTTTCTGTTTTCCACATCGCTCAAGTGTAGTCAAAGCATCAGGGGCAAAAACAAGCTCCTTTTGTTTGCACACCTGATGGAGGGATCAGGTGACAGACGCCTGTCATCAGAGTGGAGGCGACAGACATGCTGCCAAGTGCTTGCCTGGCTGGGGGGAGGCAATGACGTGCACACACCAGGCACACACGGCAGAGGAGTTTGGTCCCCACATATTCAGAAAGAGAGACAGCGGCGGAGAAATGGGGGAGTCCAAGGAAAAGACGGTGGGAGTGTTTTAGAGCAAGACAATTCTGGCTTAGAGGATGTAAGGGCATTGGGGTATACATATCAGATACATGGTTCCAATCCTACAAGACATGGACACGGCACAACAAAACATTCCCTGGGGGCTGACCCCGTCTCTAAGACAGAAGCTGGTGAAGGTGAGGTCTAGAAATAGGTTCAGTGTCAAGCTGGTTGCTGTTGAGTTGATTCTGCCTCACATCCGGCCCTGTTTACGTCAGAGCTGACCTGTGTTCCCACCGAGTTCCCAAGGGCTGTTTTTTCCGAAGCAGATTGCCAGACCTTTCTTCCAAGGTGCCTTTGCAGGGCCTCACCCTGCCTACTGCCGATGCAGCCAAGAACCTTCTCCTTCAGCGCTACTGATGGATGCTCGATTTGTAAGTTCGCCACCTAACTGGCTACTGGGGTGAAGAAGATGTTCGCTCCAAGTCACAGAAACGCCCGGAGAATGAGAGCTTGGGACAACATGGGCAAGACTGAAAAGGCAGCTTCTTAAAACACCTGGGGTCTCACTGAGGGACGGGGGACTGCCACGCAGACCTCCATGATGACGCTGAAGGCAGAGCTCCCCCCCTCCTGAGAGGATGGCCATCTCTTCATCCCCCCTACACGAAGCCAAGGGTGAGGATGTGATGTGCACGGAACAGAAAGGTTGAAGCCAATGGTTTGGAAAGATGAAGCGAATCTAGGGCATTGACCCCCGTGTCCCGTGTCCTGCTGTCGGGTAAAGGAAGAGAGGCAGGGCTTCAGGCAGGAGGTCCTCCAGCTCCTCTGGGCAGGCTGACGAGATTCTCAGATGGTCTAACTTACTCCCAAGTAGCAGCTCTTCCCCACCGCCATTCATTGAAAGAGCCCGAGAAGATGGCATTCATGCTGAAAGCATGGTGTGAGGCTGTAGCCCCTACCTTCCTTCCTCCCCGGTTCAAATGCAACAGAACTAGGCCAGCTTGCAAAGGCCACAGTGAAGGGTCACACGGGACTCCATGCCAGGACAATGACCAAGAGCTTGAGGCAGGTACCCTTTCTAGCCATGTGACACAGAGTTACACTCCACACGACTGAGCACTTAAGGCCAAAAGGTGGAGCTAAGAAGGCAGGGGTGTGAAACTGAGAGCAGATCAAAACGCTAGCTTAGAAGAAGGAATCTGACTGCAAGCCAACCACGAACCACCATGCACCTTTCCACCCATCTCCAGTTCCACTGACGGCCCTGCGCAAGTACACTAGTCACCGGATTAAACGCGGCTGCCCATAGAAATCAGCTACCAGCGAGGCTAGAAAGTATCAAGCAGCAAACATGTGTTTCCTATGTTCATCTGTGACGGCTAACAGGATACTCAGGAGGGTTACCTTGAGCTTTCCAAGTCTGAGCCACGATAACGCTTTAAAGTGTCACAAATACAGGATCAGCTAATAAACGCCCACCAGGTTGCATTACTGGATCGATCGAGGCTGTCATCTCGATGAGGAAGACGAGCAAGGTAGTGATTGTTAAAAAGAGGAAAGAGCAAGGTAATTATTGTTAAAAAGAGGAAAGAGCAAGGTAATTATTGTTAAAAAAGCAACGGGACGCCTCTGCTTTACATGCCAACTTATGGACAACTTGAAGTTGTCCTTTTCTTAAATAAGGTTAAAAAGGTGTGTGTGTGTGTGTGTGTGTATTTAAGGCCGCTATCATCACAACAGGTTACAGTAATCCAATAGGAAGCCTCTGCATTTGAACTGGCTACACTGGAACACTCATGGGAATTCACGGCTTGGCCTAAAGACTGGCCTAGCTCAGAGCCATCCAGCTGCCTCTAAATGGCTGGCTTAATGAGGATAGTTCAAGAAGGAACTTCAAAGCAAAGTGAGCTTCAGGAATAACAGAAGGGCATTCTCTGTTCTTATTTGGGCCAATCTGCATACACACCTCATGGGATGAGCAAGCTGGAGTCATGGGGAGACGCGGATTCACTACGACACATTACACTCCACAGTGTTCAAACCGGACAGGTGACAGAAATGGATGCCCAGAGAAGACCAAGTTGCCCAAGGTCACGGAGTGAAGCCTTAGCAGCAAAGCCAGGATCGGGACCTGGGTTGACTCCAGTCCCAGTGCTCCTAGAGATGTATCATGGCAGGATCACATGGCCTGCCATCCTCAGGCACAGGTGGCAAGCCACAGATGAACAAAAGTGGTGTTAAGGGACAGTCCCTTCTGGTGACCCGCTCAGTGACCCCGGTGAAGAAATGCTCTCCCCACATAGCGTCACATTATTCTGCCTCTGATATTGCTCAGAAGACTCAAGGAGCCACTCCCTGACTGAGCTACAATAAAACCAAAGCACTGAAGACAGCTGAGGTTCCAACCAAGTCTACAAATAAGATTTGTCTGGAAAGACTTTCTGGAGTTCAATTACTCAAGAAAAATGGTCTCCACCCTCAAAGCAGGCTGGCTGAGGATGGCGGCTTATCTCATCTTTGTATAACTACACTCTGAAACAGCAGCTGCTTGAGAAATGAGTTCCCACCAAGGTCAAATTGCAGTGATAGACCAGGTCACTCACACAGTCACGTGGGTTATCGCTATGAGAGAAGCATGTATAAATGCGCCTGAGAATGGTTATAGCAATGCCTACCGGTAAGGTATCCTCTAGGGCCCTTGGTTGAGGAAACCTTGTTGAAAGGCAGCTGCCTGGTTTGGTAGGGCAAAGGCTAGATGTGGATTACATCATATGTAAATAAGCTCTTCCATGTTCCGGTCGGGTTCAACACAGAACTCGCATGTAGAAGCTCCAGACACGACTGTGGTGGGACTTGAGTGTGCTTTAAAAACATGGACATATCAAACAAGCTGGTGGAGGGAGGAGGTCTTGGCTTTCTTGCATTTCGGTGACCACTTCACAGATCCTGGACAATCGAAGGTAGAGTCCCGAAGACTCTCACACACGTCACTGCTTCACCAAGATCCCATCCACGGGCAGCGCCGGGGAGGCCGGCTCAGTTGGCATACTGGGCATAGAACGCCACTTTCACTCTCTCGATCTGATGGCACAGCTTGATGGCCGGCCCCAACTTCAACTCCATGCACTCCTGCACCGTGGGAAGAGTCAGCAGGAGGAGTGCCTGCCCATCAATGTCCTGCCAGAGAGTGAAAACCCAGGTTAGAGAACAGGACGTGTACAGCAAGAGAAAGCAGGTTTGTCACATTTTGCTCCACAAACCAACCACCTTCCCTTCGAGTCAATTCGGACTGTGTAAGAAAGACAGCGCTGAACTGCTCTTGAGGGGCTGACACGGCTGACATCTTTACAGAAACAGCCTCATCTTTCTCCCAAAGAGCGGCTGGTGGATTTGAATTGCGCATCTTATGGTCGGCAGTGCAGTGGATATCCCACCACGCCATCTGGCCTCCTCATCTTAGGCTTGGCAGTCTACTACTAAATACATCAGAAGACTATGCTTGCTCAATAATATTCTGGACTGTGATGGCCAGACAGATCAACTTGGCTTGATGACAATATTTTTTGCCAATAAAATCTTTTTTGGTTTTGCCCTGAGATAGCCCTTAATTTTTGTAATAAAAGTATTCCCTGAAGAACTTCCTAAAACTGAACGAGAGCTTGGCTTCCCTAGCATAGCACACCTGCTTTGTGCATTCTGCCTCTCTCAACTCTATCTCATGGGATCACATTGATAGCAGCATGTGGCCAGATCTGATCGGACACTCGGGGAGCCGTGGGCTTTTCCAACGGGGGAGCAACAACGCAGAGATGAAGAGTAAGAATGGGCGCAACCCTTGAAGAAGGTCCTCAATGTCACTTAATTGTGCAAGTCGCAATTGTGGAATCTGTGTATCTATGGTTACGTACATTCTCAACAACAAAAACAGTTTATATTAAAATTAGTTTTGGCTAATATGATTTTAGTGACTACAACACACACACACACATCAAACTAAAACCAAACTTGCCGCCCTGGAGTTGATGCCGACTCACAGCGAGCCTATGGGGCAGGGTAGAACTGCCCCTGTGAGTCTCTGAGACCAACTCTTTACGGAAGTAGAAAGCTTTGTGGTTCTCCCATACAGCTGGCCGGTGGCTTTTACTGCTGACCTTCAGATGAGCAGCCTAACACATAGCCACCATATCACTGCAGCACTCCCACAGGGGGCTGCTGCCGGGAGTCTTTACCAGAACTGTCAACCACGGGTCCTGATGGGAGAGCCATCCCCGCTTGGTCCTTCCTGGGCTTGGTGAGTGCTGTAATTTAACCCAAACACTTGGAAAGGTCTCTTTACTAAAAGAAGAAGCTGCCTCCTTTCCCTGCCAAAGTCTGACATTTCACCATCAGGATAGGTGAGAAGATGCAAAAGACATATATGCTAACTTCCCAACACAGTTTTCCATAGAGGAAAAACACCTGCACTTAGAAAACACACACACACACACACACACACACACACCATCATCATCATCATCATCATCATCATACAGCTCCCAGTTTTGTCTTATGTCCACACAATGAAGACACTTCATGGAACGGCTGCTAGTTGAATTTAATGCAGGAAGATGAGCACGCAGGCACATCCGAAGGTTGCAGATGATTTCACTGAACATCTTTGCCTCTCCCGGTTTGCGGTGTCCTACAACAATCTGGTTTATTTATGCGCATGTCCAAATGTAGTTTGATTGCATTGGGGGCTTTTCCTTCCTATTTTCCAAGATGGGCTTTGAACTCCAAAATAATCCAGAGGCTCAAAGAGCTTGTAAGCCGAAGGTTAAGACAAAGCTCAGTGGCAGAAATACAGCATCAATTAAACTTGCTGCTGCAGCTGTGGACCACCGAGGTGACTGTGACCTAGAGCAAACCCGTGGGACAAAACAGAACTGCCCCATAGCGTTCCCTGGGCTGAAGCCTTTATAGTACACTGCCAGGCCTTTTTTTCCCAAGGGGCGGCTGGTGGGTGTCAACCTCTAGGTAGACAGCAAGCATCCAGCCAGGGCATCATCAGGGCTCCTTATATTAACCGCAGTCTACCAGCATTCCTGCCACGTGAAGAAGTGTTACACCAGGATTGCCAGAGCCACGTGACTTCACATTCACCGAGAGTTATGTGTCTCAGACATTACTTATCAAAGAATTTCATGCACGTAGCTAATTTTCTTAACTTCATGGTTTATTTTGCTGTATTGAAAAATATTTAAAGTGTGAAACAAACCAAAATGTATTCTTCATGGGAAGATGCTTGTTAAGAGCAAGAAGACTTTAGTGTACGATAAGTTCCAACAGCCACCTTGATGTCTGTGCTGAGATTCCCTAAAAAGTGCAGCAGCAATGAAAATTAAGTCTCACATGAAGAAATACCAACACAGATAAGATACACTATTGCTAAATCACAGAAGACCCACTAACACAACGAAAAGACGTGCCTCACCAAGACTCAAAATTTGATGACAGCAGACCTGGATGCAGAAAGATCAGTCTTGCCATAGTGAAAGTAGTGAAAGTAGGAGATAAACAAATAAACAAATAAAACCAACATCAAAGCCTCCTGTTAGCATTTGTTTCCCTACAGTACGATTTTACTGTAAAACACCTACAAGGCTAAATGGAGGTATTTAGAAATAAAGTGCTTTGCTCAAGGGCATGAGGCAGGCAATGGCATGCCCTAGTGTGGGGACCTGTCTGCCCACTGCAGTTCAGAGTCAAAGTGCACATATATGGCATCAATCGTGGACAGAGAGGGACAAGGCCTAGAAACACAAGGTCTTCCAAGCATTGCAGGCTTCATAAGAATACATTTTCAGGAAGGACACAAGCTGATTCATTGTGTAAAATTATGTTCAGTTGATTAAACATCATACTCAGGGAAATAAGCAAAGCAGGTCAGAATACAACGGAACCTTCTGTTCGAAGGTAAAAACCTATTTTTGGGAGATGGAAATGAACACCCAGATAGCTAGCCCATTCAACTAGAGAGAGCACTTGAACTAGAATTGTGCTTTCTGAGAGTAAACTTTGGGAGGAAAATCATAACTCGGCTCTTAACACCTAATCTTAGCGGATATGTACACTAGATTCCAGTAACTCAAGACACCTGCTTGTTCACGCCACACACATTTAGTACGTATTTACTAAGTGCCAACCACTCTGATGGCCACTAAGGCTGCCATACTGAGAAAATCATTTGCAAGTGACTATAAATCTGAAGGGAGACACAGAAGAAACACATGATGATATATAGAGATTAATGTTACCACAAGAACACAGACCCATATAATATGTAAGATGGGATTCTTCAGTAAAGGAGCAACCAAGCCAGTCTTACAGGAAGCAAGACAACTTTGGAGACTCGGTGTGGTAGTTACATAATCTGGTGTCAATTGGGGACTTGAGAGGATTAAGAGTGAAGGGGTGGAGTCTAGTCTGTCTATCAGGCCATAGACCTCTGTGTGGGCATGGTCTTCTGAGAATTCTGGGAACTATTGTATTTCCAGCTTGGAGGCAGGAGACACTGTCTCTCTCTGCTCACCCCCTGAGAAATGCTCTACTGACAAGACACATGGCACTACACCCTGGTAGCTGGAGAAGCCACATGGACCTACCCTGATGCAACCAGACCACTGGAGCTGGAGAAGCCACGTAGAGACCCCTGCCAGCACTGATATGCTTGTGCCACTGGATCCACAAGACTTACCACCCACTGGCTGTGATCCTCCTGCATTCAGCATCATTGCATACATTTCGTGAGTCTGAATAGGACTTTATTGGACTTACGGACTTGATCTGGACTGGGCTGGGGCATTTTTTCAATATTCAATTGCTCTTGTATATAAATCTCTTTCTTATATACATGAGTCTCTATGAATTTGTTTCTCTAGTCTACGCAGACTAACACTGGGTAATGCCTAAAACTATGATGCAAGGGACCAGTGAAATATTAAGGTGAAGATGATGTAAGGAACACAAGTGGTTCATTGAATAAAAACTTCTAAAGCACAAAAGGAAAATCATGGAACTTATCCTGAGCTACATAATGTAAAGTCACTACTCACTGTCATTGAACTGCAGATTCTGAATCCCAGGATACAGTAGAACGCCCCTTCCAGTTTCCAAGGTTGTAAATCTGTAGAGAAGTAGACTGCCACACCTTTTTCTCCACAGGGAGGTTGGTGGGTTTGAACAACTTACTTTCCCATTAGCCACTGAGTGCTTACTACCCACTGCAATGACAGGGTTCCGTAGGTCACTCAGAGCAGGCTTAATGCAATGCAGGTCAGTGACAGTTTCAGATGTGAACTTCGGAAAGCTACTATTGGTTGTGATGTATGAGGATGCATTTGGAGGCAGTGTGCAGAAGGTATGAGAGATTGAAGGCAGGGAAATTCATAAGGAAGTAATAATACTGCGTACATCTCAACGATGAGTCAGAACAGGAGCAACTGATGACACATTTGACAAAGGATTGCTGTAATATCCACAATGTGAAAGACAGTTCTGTGAATCGGCAACAGACAAGTAATGTTTTCAGGCAAATGGCACGAGTATTTATTTCATGAAAATAAACATAGTGAACACCTTAGGAAGAGACGCTCAGCTTCAGATGAGAGTTTTTCTTGTTTTATTCTGTCATTGTGGTTGGGTTGTTTGACCTTTCCTGTTTTGATTTGGTGTGTTTCTCTGTATATGAAATCTAGTATAGATAAATCTAGAGAGACAGTACCTGAACAGGAGTGGTTCTCCCTGCCCCACAGGGTTGCTTTCCATTGAAAGTGGAAGGCAGTGAGTTTGGTCTGAGAGGGGCGTGGCAGGGGAGGTGGGTGGGCAATGAGGAGCTAATAAGCAGTGAATACAAGGAAATGTCCTAAAATGGATTTTGGTGATGATGACACAGCTCTTCTGATATGAATGAACAACTGAAATATATGGTATGTGAATTATATACCAATAAGACTGTTACAAAAACAAAGAAACGTATAGGGATAGGTGGATACATTGATGAGCAACAACAGCTGTACATTTTGATATTTTTGTGTCATAAAGCTGCTATAATCATGTAGCATTTCCCCCAAAAAGAAAGCACCAGTAAATTAAACTAACCATAAAAAAAAAATTCAATGGCAGCAGTTCTGGCCTGTGTTATTATTTACTGTCACTGTGCCTGCCCCTGTCCTTCCACCCCAGGAGCACAGCTGTCCCCTACTTCACTCTCATGTTCTGCAAAGACCCCTTCCTGAGCTGAACAAGGCCCCCCCGCATCTTCTGAGGCTGAGTGCCATGAGCTCCCATCCCCAGCTTCTCCCTCATATGAAGAAAGAAAGGAAGATTCCACACACAACATCCTAGATCGGAAAGATGACTTTTTTATGAGCACAAACCCAAACTACTGTCCTCGAGGCAATGCCAACTCACAGTGGCCTTATGGGACACAGCAGATCTGACCCACAGGGCTCCCGAAGCTGTCAGTCTTCGCGGGCACAAACCACCTCAGCTTTCTCCCAGAGTGTCTGGGAGCTTTGAATGGCTGATCTCTGGGTTATGAGGCCAGAGCTTATCCCATGCCTCTTATAAAGAAGCTCCCATGTAATTCAAGAGAGCCCTGGTGGTGTTATCCGGGAAGCACAGGGATGCTAACCACAAGGTAGATGGTTCAAACCCACCAGCTGCTCTAAGGGAGAAAGATGAGGCTGTCTGTTCCCATACAGATTGACAGCCTTGGAAACTCTTTATAGGGTCACTGTGAGTCCGTACAGAGTCCATGAGAGTGGGTTTTTACGTGGTATATCCTTCTGAATTGCTGGTAAATCACTTAGGTTAAACAAAGAACTGCCACAAATGGACTGCAAGTTTTAAAGAAGTGAGAGCAATGATAAAACACAGCATTAAAGCCATACTTAGTGCACAGCAAAATTAAATTGATTTTGATAGAGCTGAGTGCAAGAGCTGGCAGTTCCTTAATGGACGCAGTTAGGTTTGCGGCAGTAGAAATAGGAGGGAAGGCTCTAAATTTGAACAAAACCTGTAAAGTTGGCAGAATTAGTATTATTATTAAAGTAAATCATTAATTTGGGTTATGTTTCTGCCTCATAAAAGGTGAATGAACAGGCCTAATTGTATTTAGACTTTAAAAAAAATTATACATGTGTGGAGTCATACTGCGCACCATACATGATTGGAAAATGAAATTATAGTGTGTCAATTTCTTCAGCAGTTGCTATCAAAATTCAGAATTAAAAGCTATGTGCTCTGGTAATGGATATTTTATAATTTTTGCAAATGTTCCTGGTGATTATGATAACGTCTGACTTCACAGCCCCCATAGTGGGGGGGGGGTGCCGTGCGCATGCTCTCCCACGTGGGCAGGGGCAGAGAAAGCCTCTGGGCACCTCTCAGTGCGCCTATAAGCTCATAGTGCATCTTCTCCTCCCACCCGCCCTCTCAGGAGACCCCCTAGAGACCACATGCAAATCAGAGCCCTGGCCCCGTGGCCACCTGGTGACAGGACCGATTAGTAAAAATGAGTAATTAATGGTCTGATGACACGGAAACAGGCTCTAGTGCCCACTCACTCTGGCAGCCCTGCGGGTCACAGCCGCTCACTGCGACAGGTAAAACTGCCTGGTGGATATCTAACATTAATCATGAATAAGACGATTATCTATGGATTGTGATAAGAGCTATATGAGCCTCCAATAAAATGATTTTTTTTAAAAGACAATTATCAATGAAGTCCTACCCATTTCCCTCTCTTTTAAGCAGAATATGTGGGTAGGTGGAGCATGCTTTTAAGGGAGTGAGGAGAGCCATTTGGGGGGAGGGACTTGCCCTGGCAGCTGCTTGGATCTAGAAGTGACACTGCAACAGAGAGATCTCACGGTTTAGAACACTTAGGGGTGCACGCACAGTTCTGAGTGAGAGTTATGAACCAGGTTTGGAAGTACTGTCAAGGAAGGCGTGGTCTATGCAGTATCTTAGGTCCCCACCACACCCCCGACTGCAAAGCAACTGTGTTTACTTTTATGTTTATTACAGAAAACTCTGTACAAGACGGATCCCAAATGTGCCCGTGGTTAAGCTTTCACAAATGGTCTTGAGCTTGGAACCCCGGAGGGAAATTCAGTCCCATGAGGAGCCCTGGTGGTGCAGTGGGTTAGGCACTGGGCTGTTGACCAAAAGGTCAGAGAGGAGGTTCAGAGCCGCCAGGTGCTCTGTGGGCCAGAGAAGAGGCTGTCTGCTTCCCAAAGATTTACAGCCTCAGAAATCCTGTGGAGCGGCTCTTCTCTGTCCTTACCGAGCCGCAAGGAGTCGGAATGAACTTGGAAGTGGGCTTTTTGGATCTATGACAGACCCAGGGAGGGAGGCTTTCTACTCCCATAATGAGCTGCAGTCTCAGAAACCCACAGGGGCAGTTCTATCTACCCCACCCCACCAGGCCGCTGTGAGTCTGTGGGGATTTGACGGCAGTGAGTAGAGGGAGTTCATGACAGGCCACAATGATAAGGTTTCTCAGTTAAAACCTGTCACTTGTGTTTTAAAATGAAACGAAACAAAAACAGAACTTTAGATTCATATGCACTGCTAGGCTCCACCCTTTTGAATTTTATAATGTTTAGAGCAGAACTCCAATCAGACAGACCAGAATAAACACAGGAATAGATAGACAGACATGGGCACACTAAAAACCTGTTTCACCAGCACGTAGCGTCTTTTAACATAATGCTTTTCCCATGATGCCACAATGAATACAGAGCAGGCTGGGGAAAGCTCCATTGGGAGGCAGAGTTTTTTTTATTTTTTATTATCTTTTTTTAAATTTTTTATTGGGGCTCATACAATTCATCACAATACATAGATCAATTGTGTAAAGCACATCTATACATTTGTTGCCCTCATCATTCCCAAAATTCGTTAGCCTCTAATTTTCCATTTTCCCCCCCTCCCCTTCCCTTCCTCCTCCCCTCTCCCCCATGCACCCCTAATAATTTATAAATTATTATTGTATCTTATATTACACTGTCCGGCGTCTCCCTTCACCCACCCCTCCGCTGCCCGTCCCCCAGAGAGGAGGCCACACGTAGCTCCCTGTGATCCATTCCCCCCTACTACATCCCCTTTCCCTTCTGGTATCGCCACTGTCACCCCTGGTCCTGAGAGGTTCCTCTGTCCTAGATTCCCTGCGTTCCCAATTCCCGTCTGTACCGCTGTGCATCATCTAGTCCAACCAGGTCTGCAAGGAAAAATTGGGGTCCTGGTAGTTGGGGGGAAGAAGCGTTCAAGAACCAGAGGAAAGTTGTGGGCTTCGTTATTGCTATACTGGACCCTAAGTGACTCGTCTCCCCACTACCCCTCTGCAAGGTATGTCCAGTTGTGGGAGGCAGTGTTTTAACCAGGACTTCGACCTAGTGCTTTATTTTAATTTTCCACATGGAGATGTAGTAGAAAACGCTCACATTCAGCACAGCTGTCTTTCCTTGTGGCTTTTCACTGAAGGGGCAAGCACATTACCCAGATTCACCGTGTCTAATGAAGTTGCTCCTTTTCTGTCTGCTTTTAAGCATCACCGCAGAGGAAGTGCAGCTAATGTCAGGCAGCCAGCTGGTGACCTTCACCTGATGGGCAAATTAATACACCTCACAGCTCTCCCAGAGCAAGGCCGTTTTTCACGTTCTCCAGAGAAGTTCAAGGTGGAGAAGCTCATACGGTCAACTGCTCCATCTTCCTTGCACCTAGAACAGTGCCTGACATGCTATACCAGTTGCTCTTGAGAAGTCTCCACCTCCCGGTGACTCAGAAGAGAAGAGCACTCTGTAGCACTAGCAGTGATTGCTTTCTCTAAAGCAGAGCATACACCCTTCCGAGGTGCCTCTGGCTGGCCTCGAACTGCCAACCTGCCATTTAAGCAGACAAGTGCTTTTACCCTTGCACCATCCAGGGACTATGATATGCAACTGACACTCAATGAATACATGTGGAAGGAAGAAATGGGGGCTCAGAAAAAGGTTCATGCTAAGCCAAAACCAAAACACTAACCATTACTAAAATATAATATTAGGAGACATTGGATAAATATTATTTGCATCCTGCCTATTGCAAAAGAAGCCTTGGTGAGGCACTGGTGTGCTAACTTCAAGGTGGAGGGTTCAAACCCACCAGTCACTCTGCTCCTGTAAAAACTTAAGTCTTAGAAACCCCAGGGAGCAGCTCTCCCCTGGCACAGGCTTCTATGCATTGTAATAGAGTCTGCTGCAGGGGTTTTTTGGGTTGGGTTGCTCCTTATCTCAAAGGGGCTATAATTTTCTCCACTTACAAATGCTTTGCCAACACAGGGCCAAGCCTAGCTGAATGGCTGAACAGAGGATGGTGCAACCAGTCAGTGGGATCTTTTGTAGGCAGCAAACTGTGTTTCTGCTTATCTAACAGCTTTTTAAAAACTGGATGCAGGACTCGACACATAAAAGGCACTCACTTATGCGCTACACATGCACAGACCAAAAAAAGAGAGACTAAATATACAAAAAGTTCCTGTTGTGGGTTTTGAGGGACCATCCGTTTTTCGCTTCAGCATTTTTATGATGGTTTCAAATATTCTACAATAACATGCATTGCTTTTAAATTTTGGAAAAAAACATCATCAATAGAGGTTATTTTTAAAACAAAAACAAAAAGGAGCGCTATAATTTTACCACCAATAAGAAAGCATGATCTGAAAGTTTCACTGGGGTCAAGATATTAAGGAAAATGTTCTGCGATTTAGCTTTCCTCACGAAATATGAAGGAAACACGCAGTCAGAGAATTGACATAACATCAAACCACAGTGTGCAGAAGAATATGGAGTAGAAAGTCTGGTACCTGTTCCTGAAATATTTTGGCCAAGGGGGCGCAGTCTGTCAGTTTAATGAACCTGACCACATCGGTCACCGTCCACTCTAAGGGGTTGCTCTCCAGAACCAGTCTCTCCTCCTCGTCCTGCTTCATTTCCTGCAGGAGGGAAAGGAAATGGAGATGACGTCAGCTTTCCTGCCTGCTCCATCTTTCCTGGAACCCTCTGGACTAAGCCGGACTCTCCTGCATCAGGAGCCACCTCTTCCCTTTGGTGTCTTGTTGGCGTCTCCACAAGCTGCAAGGACTTTCATTCTTGGGGGGTTTCTAACCCACTGGCTGGGTTAGACTTCACCCTCGGTGTCTCGGGGTGTCTTTAGGGCTAGGAGAAAAGGCACAGACGGCAGTTCCCGAATCCGAAGTTCAAGAAATGTGGGGCCTTCTTATTAGTGAATCGCCCCTGATTCAGAGGAGGAGAGACAATAAGGGACTTATTCAAATACAAGAGGCCCCATTTATTTAGGGGGTGATGGTGCCTATTACTTTTTGGTTGATCATATGGCAGCCATGAGTTTAGGGGAGACCTGAAACACCGACTTCTAGAAAGGAACCAGGGAAGCACCACACAAGGGCCGGGCTTCAAGGCGCTGAGATGGGATTCCAGAAACCCCAGTGTTCAATAGGATCACATCATCCTGCTCATTCTCAGGGCCTACCTTACTCAGGACTGACAAGAATCTCTTGCCATTCGAAAGCTTTTTCCGAAAAAGAGATGCTACTACTTCCCTTAGAACTCCCTGCTCGTGATTAAATATCCCACTCTGCCAAGAGAAGCACTGTCTTTTTTTTGCCCTGGGCTTGGAAATTAAACTAGAGCAGCTGCTGTTTTTAAAAAAATATTTTTAAAACAAGTTTCCCCAAACCAAAGATCTAATAAACTACAATTCCTTTTCATTTTGCACACGAGACAGGGCTACCCGAGGGTCACCAGGTGTGCCAGGTGCAGGGTCTCTCCGTGGACCTGTACCTCGGCTGCCTCCTGCTTGGCCGCAGTGCACTTCTCTTCCTCCGCCAAGGAGGGGGGCTGTGCTTTCCTGCCCCTCCGTGTCCTCTCCACCGCAGGACGCCGCTCCGGCTCCGCGCTGCTCCTCAGGGTGACCGCCCGCCTGGGGCGGGCAGAGGGGACCTCCACGGAGGAGGTGTCTGTCTGATCATCCCGCAGCTCCGAGCCCGTCTCCTCGCTCCCGGTGTCATCTTCCATGGCCATGTCTGGGTCCTCTTCTTCACTTTCCTGGGAAGACCAGAAACCGGCTGCTAAAACGGGTGGACCCCACAGTCCGAGGGCAGGGCTTTAATCCGCACTCCCTTTTCCTCCCCGTGCAAAGCACCTAGCCTGGTGTGCCCAGAGAGGACCCTAAGAGCGACCCCACTATCTCCACGGAGAGCTGCCCTAGCTCAAGTTGAAGGACATGTCAACTGCCTTCAACAAATATGGGGTGGGTGGGAGGGGATGTCATTGAACAATATATGTAGAAACGGTTTCAATGTGAACTTGCTCCGCTGTGTAAACCTTCACTGCAAACACAATGCGATGATCAAAATAAACAAATGGAAGGGGGGACCCTTCGGATTGCTGTGTCTAACCACTCGCTTCTGTATCTAGCCGGTTCCAGCTGCAGCCCTTTTGGTGGCCAGACGCTGAGCCGACGAGGAGAACTTACCTCCCCTGACCCCGGTGTCAAGTCCACCGTCGAAGATCTCCGTTTCTTCTGCACAAAAATGGACTTTCTCCGTTTCCTGCGCCTGGCTGGCTTCGGGTGCCCACTCTCCATGCTGTTTTCACCGATTGGGGGTTTAATGATCTTCTTTCTCTTTCCATAATAATAGGCTGTGGGGAGAACAGTGGTGAAGACGTAGGGACAAGCTGAACACCACCCACCCCCTGCCCCCGCCCTATACGGATGGATGGACGGACACGGAATGAGAGAGAGAAGTAGTAAACAAGAGTCAGAGGTGAAAAATAAATGGGCATGCTTGAATTTGGGGCCACCAGAAATTGACATCTACTTTATCCAGGAAACCATTCTGGTCAGCGAGCTGCACGGAGAACGGTCATTGTTTTTCAAAGGCCCAGTGCTTACAAGGTGAAAACCTGCCGGCTGCTCCTGGGAGATTTTCTCTGCCTCTTTTCCCCAAGATGGTGAAGATGGCAGGGCCCTGCAGGGTTTCGTTCGGCTGTGCATAAGATGGGAGCCTACTCCATGGCCCTTCACCACCATTGCCTGCCCCAGACACTGCGCCTCGTGGGGACAAGTGCCTTCCACAAGAATGTTCTCTAAGAGCTCTGGTGTCACAGGGTTAAAGCCGGGCTGCTAAGGGGAAGGTCGGTGTTCTGAACGAACCCACGGGCCTGTTCCCTGGAGAAGACAAGGCTGTTTGCTGCCCAAATGATGTACAGCCTCAGAAGCCTCACTGAGCGGTCCTCTCTGCCCCATAGTGGTGTGCTAGGCCGTGCAAGCAACTCAATGGCAGTGAGTTTGATTTTGTTTTGATTTCTCTGACAACTGGTTGCCCCAGGCCTGAATCTTCAGGAACATTTAGAGATTATATCTTGAAGAGTTTGTCATTGTTGACTTCCCCAATCACTTGATCTGAGATAAAATTGAGATCTAAACACATGGGGCAAATCAAATAAAAGCACCATGTCCCTTATCTATTACATATTGTATTCTCTTGTTAAGTGGAGAAACTCTCATTACAAATTCGATGTTGTCCTTGTTAGCTGTGTCCAACTGACCCCTAACTCTCATTTCTATAGCAGGGAGATTTAGCTACCTACATCCACACGCAGAGTACTGATTAGAAAACAAAATGATTCACCTTCTCTCCTAGCCAAGAGGACTGAAGATAACGACCTCAGAGCTTGCTGCAGGCCTCCCCACCCTGTGCGGTGTATCCAGGAGCTATATTAGAGAGATAGGTTCCCTAGCCTCTCTGGACCTCAATTTCCCGTTTATAAAGTAAGACCACTGGGGCTGACTAGCATAGGCTTCATGGAGACAATGGTGGTCCCGTGAGAAATCTCGCTTCCCAGCCACCGCACTTCATGTGGACCCACCACCTGCCAGTAAAAACTCGCTTGGAGCTGTAATGCCAAACGCATTGCAGTGGAGCGTCCAGACTCAGACGGACTAGAGCAAAAAGACCAATGGACTTCCCAAATGAACCCACAAGCACTCTATGGGTCACGGGGGTTGGGTTCCTAAACGGATCGTGGGATGGCACAGAACCAGGGCAGCGTTTTCTTTAATTGGGCATGGGGTCTCCAGGAGTTGTGGGTCGACTTGATAATAAGAAATAATAATAATGTCTTCCTTTAAGTACTAAAATGATCTATTTCCTATTTTTCCCACTTGAACTTGGCCCAAGAGAGGGCACTTACAGCATCTGTCTGCAGCTACAGAAATGCCCGCCGGCCATGGAAGCAGCGGCATGCCCCCATCGACGCCCTGAAGAGGAAGGCTGCACAAGAACCTGAATTAACGCCTCATCTCCATTCTCGTGGGACCGCAACCCTGTGGGGCATGTGCAAATGGATGGCTGTTACACGGATGCTGCTGCATGGCTAGCTATTGATATTAGTTGCCAAGGAAAAAGCAATGATTTTCTACGCTCAGAAAACCCAAGTGGGAAAGCCAGGTTGGGTGCAGCTTGATTAAAAAAAGAAAAAAAAAAATATATATATATATATATATATTCTTTTTTTAAAGCAGGACTCTGAAAACCAGAACTGGTTTTCCTGAAGGCCACAAAGCGGTAGTAATTTTGAGAGCTTTAGAGATCAAGGGGGCCCTGCTGCCCTTGCTGCTTTTCCTTCTTCAAACCATGCTCGATCCTCCTCCTACCGCTTCCTTAGTTCCATTACCAGCAATCTTTCCTGAAGGTCCACCCAAGAGACTTCTGGATTTCAAATGCTTATCACTAAAACCAGATCCAGAAAAAAAGTTTTATTTCAGTTGTGTAGGGGCAGCAATAACAAGCTTCTCTCCAGATCCTCAAATGAAAAGAAGCCCTTTTTCAAGGTCAGCATTCAAGGCCAAGTTTAGCCCTTAGTCAACTCCTTTTTCACTCCAGAGCATCTCTGAGTAGCCACCTCCCTCCATGGCTCGTCCTTGGGTCATGTGTGATGTGAGGAGCAGAGACAAGCTCTTCAGAGCACCATGGCCTGCACGCCCAGCACACTCAGTGTGGTCTTATAAGAGGGAATGCGTATGGACTGAAACGGAGCTCAACCTGGCAGAAATGGTAGCTGGCGTGGGAAAACAGGTTTTAAAATCTGCATGTAAGCATACAATAGAAGGAAATCCCAACTCTGAAGAGTGTTTCTAATACATTCAGATTCTTGGTTGTGACAGCTAAGTTGCTATCGCACAGAAAGCTGCTGCTCCACGAATCCCTACCACCCTGGGTCCTCATAGCAGCCTGGGAGTCAGTAGGAAACACTGGCCAACAGGCGACCGACGGGGAGGTAGTCTACCCCTGGGATAAGTGGTAAGGTGGGGATGTTTGTAGGACGGAGGAAGCTTTTAGAACTGGATTGTTCTGAGCGGGAGGCATCTGAGAGAGGTGACAGTGGGGAGAAGAGAAGGTCAGCAGGGGAGAGGGTGGGCAGAGTTTGGGAGACGCCATCAGCAGAAGGCAATCCACATGCCACAGAGTCGATTCTGACTCCGGGGACCTCCTGTGTGCCATCGAAGAGGAACACTCCATGAGCTTTTCAAAGCTGTGACCTTGCAAAGGGAGACCACCAAGCTTTCCTTCCAAAGTGTCTCTGGAGGTATTTGAACCATCAACCTTTTGGTTTGTAGCCCAGTGTATAACATATGCACAGAAACAGGAGTCACCAAATGTGATGGCAGAGGACAGAAAAGGCAAGTGAGGAAGAGGGGGCGGGGAAGAGGAAGCGAAGGAAAAGCTGACGCAACTCTTTCAGCTTAGGTCTATGGACCAAAGACTGTTTCTCGTGATTGGTACTTACTGTATTTGGTTTTGGTGTGAATGGAGCAGTTCTCTGGGCAGTTTTCAGAAACCAGCACAGGACTAAACAAATTTGGACAACACTCCAGCTTGCCACACACTCGTCGGCAGAAATCTGCCACTTGATCGGACGTCCGCACAATCTTGACCACTGCCCTGTATGTTTTGCCCCGGTACCTGGAAAACCAGGAAGGAGAGACAAGGGCAAGAGCCAGTTACTGGTCCAATTGGTTCGGTTCAGGACATGCCAAAGGAGACCACCTCACTTTCCAACAACAAAGCGGACTGCGAGCAGAGGCTGTGACACTTGTTTTTAACGCTTCCTGATGGTCTTGCCAACACATCTTCAGAAATGTCCACTATCGCACCCAAATACATTCAGGATGCTAAAACATGACACCTGGAAATCAAGATTTCCACTGGGCACACTCTCATTGTGTTAGTACCATTTAATTCAAAATATTAGTCATGTGTGGTAGGTACCTATTGGGCACAATCCTTAAATTAACGATAAAGAAACATAATTTATGTCTTCCTGCTGCTATAATATACAATTTTTGGAGACCAGGAGGAGATAAAAGTACCGTGTCTCTACTTTGGGACAAATGCAAACCCAGAACAGTAAAATGATATCTTCATCAAGACTGCATATTATATTGTTGAAACAGGAGCAATTTCCATTATTCATAAATGGCACCTGTATTGAACAGAATTAGGAATAACCAACTGGTTGGCAAGATCATATTTAAGTGGCGAGAGACACAATAGATGTACAGGTGGGCGACGGGGGAGTCTAAAAGCACAGAGGCCCTTCTGATACGAAACCGGCAGACTCCATGTGGATTCGTGTGTCTGGGAACTCCACAGCCAGGGGCTCTGGGGCTCAGGGAACCTCGACGGCCCTCAGGTGGTTCCTCAATGGTGAAGAGACTTCCACCATTGAGCAGAGAAGGAAGAGACCTCCATGTTTCTTAAGTAGAAAGGGGGCCAGGGCAAATGATCAAGCCTTTTAACGTATCTGGCCCAAAAGAGCAAACCACTCATCTAGCTCTCTAGATTGGGTATGGTCAACATTGATCAGTGGACTAAAACCTGCTTCCGAAGAAGCCAACTGCACTTCCGGTTTCACTTCAGCTCCATGAAGCTGTCTCATCAGCCCAGGGGGCTCACACTGGCCCCTTCATTTCCATGCCACAAGGGTGGAACCGAAGGACACAGACAGACCGGGAACCCCAAGACGGCGTATCCATCCCTCAGTGCATCAACAAAGCTCTTTCTCCCCCAAGAGCACGGAGGCTGTTGCTTCCTGTGAGTGTTCTCCTTTCTAGGTTTACACGTGTCGTGATCCTCTGAGGTCATCCTCAGGTGGGCTGCAATTTCCTTAGCGGGCAGATTCGTCTAAAGAAAGGACAGGGAGGTCTCCCCAAAACTTTTCCAGGGCATCGCAAAACAAGAGCTGGAACGGTTAACATCTTTGATATTTACCCACAAGGAGCTGAGTGTCTAATATGAGAAATCATGAAGCATGTAACTAATATTGCTTATGCACTCATTACCATAGACTCGATCCTGATTAACAGCGACCCTACAGGACACAGAGAACTCTCCATGAGACTTCTGAGACTGTAAGCCTCAGGAGCAGACAGCCTCACCTTCCTTCTAAGGATGCAGATAGTTGGACTGGAACTGCTAGCCTTGCTGTTAGAAGCCAATGCTTAACCCACTGTACCATCAAGCCTCCTTCATATTACTCGACGGTGTAGTGGTTATGTGTTGGGTTGCTAGCTGCAACGTCAGCAATTCGAATCCACCAGCCCCTCTGCTGGACAAAGACAGGCTTTCTACTCCCAGAATGAGCTTCAGTTTCAGAAACCCATAGGGGCAGTTCTACCCTGTCCTCCAGGGTCACTATGATTCAGAATCAACTCGACGGCAGTGAGCTGAGTTTGGGATATGTTTAATTTATTGTCATGATATTAAAATAGTCATCAGACTCATAAGAAAAGTTCAACAAGGAACCCATAAGGAAAGTTCAATGTTGCTTTTCTTCTTTGAAGGAAAAGCAAAAGGCACAGCTATTTAGTAAACCGAGCTCCGGAAGGGTGCAGAGCCTGAATGGCTGCTAACCAAAGGTTGACAGTTCACATAGCTCAAGGTTATCCCAGCAGATGGGCTGGCTGGTGATGTCCTTCTGAAATATCTGCTTCTAGGACCCCACAGACTACAGTTCCACCGACACTCTGCTTCTTCGCTCCTCCCTCTGATGCAGCGGTGGCAAGGCCATCGCCGTCCTCTCGCAACAGGGGACAGCGTTTGGCATGAAGATGCTTCAGGAGTCTAGAGGTTGCCATCCGCTGCTTATGAATTTGGCCAGGAGATTATCTCCTGCCCAAGAAGAACTGCAGGCAATAAAGTTGCCACTATCGAGACGACGAGCCACGTCTTCGGGAAAGGGTAGTAGATGGACTCTTTCTTTGAAAGAGGGATTTAAATTCTCCTCCGAATCTTTGTAACTAGTGCGTACGGCATGCTGGCTCCGGAACAAGATGAAGACGTGGAAGTAACGGCGTGAATGACCTGGCGAAGCTCTCGTCCACTGTCATCGGGACAACAGAATTGCAAGCTCTCCAGTTGGCAACAGATCAGAGATCTGTAGTCAGTTCCAGTCTCACTGGATTCTGACATCACTGACATGCGAACTCATAGAAGTAGCCGAGCCTGCTAAGCGGGGTCCTGGACGTGTGCCCCCACCTTTAAGTTGCAATCTTGAACAACAGAATTCTTTTTTCCGGGGGAAAAATAGCAGGTAGGGATAGTTTTGGCAGATAACACTGAACATTAGTTTCTGGAAAACCACGGCCCGTCCGTCTGTCTGTCTGCAGGAATGAACCATGACATGGTAATTCATGAGGTGATGCCACACTCTCATTGGTCAAACCTACTCTCTTGAAAATTCACTCAGGTCTCCATCAGTCCACTGCAGAATATGACAGGAACATGGAATACATGGACAAATAGGACTTCAGAATAAGGAGATGACCTGTTTTCAAAATCTGCACTAAATTAAAAACCGGTGATCTGGTTCACAAAAAAAGAACATGGAAATAAATATGATACCTTCTCCTGTGTTTATTTCAACTTTCTAAAAGAGGTCTTTTGGGGCTGGAGAAACACACCTTTTCCCCTTAATAATTCATTTTATATCAGCAGCAAAACTAAAATTGTAACTTAAAATAAACTCTATATTTTATGTTTTTTTCACCGTACTTTCATAGGGCAGCTCTTTCTACTGTTTATCCCTCATTTTCTCTGATGCCAGGCTCGACTTTAGGTACAGAAAGAACTGAAAATAGCAACCTTTGTAGATAACATCACGGTTTATACCCTAAACCTTGTGCAAGTGTTGATTTTTCTAGGACCTCTATTGTCCCACTGTCTTCCCCAGAGAATGGCCTCTGTGGTTCAGCCTACTGTGTTTCTTGTGTCCACTGTATGAACACACTCAGGCCCGCGTTGGAGATGTCGTGGGCTTGGTCTTAGATGACTGCAATAAAGCAAATATCACATTCAAGAGAACCACGAGCATTTTCTTTGCGGAGAGTGGCTCCCAGTAGATATAAAAGTTAAGTTTACACAACACTGCAGTCTTAAGGAGCCCTGGCGGCATTGTAGATTAGGTGCTGGCCTGCTAGCCACAAGTTGGCAGGTCAGACTGCCCTCCTTAAGAGGAAGAGGAAGTTGTCTGCTTCTGCACAAACGTACAAGCTCACAATCCCTACGGGGCATTCTCCTCTGCTCTACAGGGTCCCTGAACATGATGGCAGTGGACTCACTATTGTGTGTTTGTTTTGTTTTGAGGTTTGGGAAGAACTATGTCATGGTATCAGTGGCAGAGTATACCTAATGCCACATCTGTTTCTAAACACGGTGCAGTTTCTAAACAGCGCAGTACAAAAACAAACAACAAAACTAAAGCTTCTTGCGGGAATACGCAATTCCAGGACTGAGGCTGGAGCAGACCAAGGGGAGCTAGACACACCTGGGTGGGGAAGAAAGTAGAGAGGAACGACAGGAATATGTCAAAAGGCCACACACGGTAGCCTGATGTAGCTTCCACTTCTGAGTTCCTGACATCCCACTTGGTCCGCAAACACAGATGCAATCTCTCAATAAACTTAGCAAATAAGACTGAGGTGCCTAAGCAGACACCCCTCTCCCAAGAACATTGCACACCAAAGCCTTAGCAGTAAACGGAAGCCACAGAACGAGAGGAACAAGGCGGAGGGGTGCTCTTCACGGTTGGCAGAAAAGAAGTGTGAGTGGCCTTCAATCTCCTCCTAACCAATGCAAAGCTAGGATCTACTGCCACATGTGCATGCGTGTGGCAGGGGAGGAGGAGGATGGAGGAGACTGGTGCTGGAGAAGACACAAGTCCCCTCTCTTTTACTGGTTAAGCCAAAACCAAATCCACTGCCACCAAGTGGATTCTCCGGGACAGGGCAGGACCACCCCAGAGGGTTTCCAAAGCTGAGGTCCTTAGGAAAGCAGAGTGCCTGGGGCTTCTCTGAGCAGCCGGTGGGTAAACAGTAGACCTTTCCATCAGGGGCCGAGCACTGAACCCCTGCGCCACCAGGGCTCCTACTAGTCAAATGTCGACACAAATAAAGCTAGTCCAGTTTGGCCCTTCAATACAGGTGCAAGATGCGAAATATGAGAGATTTCTTCCACGCTGTTCAAAGACTGCAATCACTTTGAAATAAAAATGGATGAGAAAACAGCAGCAACAACAACACTGCTGTGAGGAGCCAGGCGTCCCTATCAGCGGGGTCCAAGTGGGGTGGCATGAGTTTGGCTCGAGCCCAATCAGGTATCTTCCAGAGGGATTTTTTTCACAAAATCTCAGTAGGCAGTGACGTGGGTGGGAGTCAAGGACAAGGTTCCAGCCAGTTCTTCAAGCTGAATTCATACTGTGAATACTGAAGGAAGAATTTTGAAGGAGGGAAGGTGGATAAGCCCGGGCACCTTGCAAAAACCATTCTTCTCATTAGTGAGAGTAAGAGCTGATCCTGTGTGTCTTGATGTGGCAGTCACCTAATCGGGTGTCAATGTAAGGATTAAGAGTGTAGGAGTGGAGTCTAGTTTGTCAATCTGGAGGTAGCCAATGAGACTTCTGTGTGGGCATGGCCTTCTCCTGGGAATTCTGGGAAATCTGGTACTTCCTCCTTGGAGGCAGAAGACACTCTCTCTCTCTGCCACTCCCTGGGAGACATTGCAGAAGACAAGCCACATGGACGTAACAAGAGCTCAGAAGCCGGAGAAGCCACAGAGAAACCCCTGCCTGCGCTGAGATGCTTACAACGCCACTGGACCCAAAGACTTTCTACCCACTAGCTGGTGGTTATCCTGCATTCAGCTTCATTGCATGTGTCTCGTGAGTCTGAAGAGGACTTTATAGATTGATATTGGACATATGGGCTAATATCGGACTTATGGACTTGATCTGGGCTGGGATGTTTTCTCAGTGTTCAATTGCTCTTGTATATAAATCTCTTTCTTATACACATATGTGTGTCCATGGATTTGCTTCTCTAGTCTACCCAGACTAACACACTTGAGAATAAGACTTTTCATTCGCTGGTCACCTGTTTATCATCAATACAATGGCTAACTGGTTTTCAGCCTAGTCACACAACTTAACTCTTGAAATTTCTTCTTTCTCCCTTCCTGCATTTCAACTTATGCCTTACACAACCAATAATCTTTTGTAGCATCAATTGATGGAGTGTGTGCACATGCACATGTCAAAAACACTTCCATTTATAATTCGGAGCATCTGAAACGAGTTTGGTTTGAATCAGAAACACCGCACCCATAGTCTGAGTATCCTAAACACACAGAGAAATATTCCATCTTCTTTTCGATTGACATTATTGTTGTTAGGGGCGATCGAGTCAGTTCTGATTCATAGTGACCCCATGTGCAACAGAAGGAAGTACTGCCCGGTCCTGAGGGACCCTGACCTTCATTGTGATGTCAAGTCCATCGTCACGGCCACTGTGTCAGTCCATTTTCTTGATGATCCTCCTCATTTTCCTGAACTTCTACTTGACCAAGCAGAGCATCTCTTTCCAGGGACTGGTCTCTCCTAGTAACATGGCCAACGCGCATGAGACGCAGTCTTGTAATCCTTGCTTTTAAGGAGCAACCTGGCTGTCCTCCGTGCCAGATGTGTTTGTTCTGCCAGTCCAGGGTACTTTCAATATTCTTTGCCAACATCATAATTCAACAGCACCAATTCGTGTGCAGTCTGTAGTAGATAAGGCTCTTTGATGCTGAGAGTCAAGGAGCACCTCACATTTTCAGAACACACAATAGCACATCAACAAAAAGGAACAAAACAAAAACCCTTTTCGGTAAAAAGTTTCTCTGCTTTGGAGTCCTTTTTTGTCTAGAGCACTTTATAGCCAATAACACATTTCACTATTCATAAATGATGGGCACGGGCAAAGGGAGACAAATATCAAATGATGAAAAGCACATGCAAAAGCCACTGTAGCCTGCAATAAAGAAACACAAATATCATATCCACAGGACTGCTCGGAAGACCCGATTTTATCTCAGTGCTCCCGCCCAAGTGATGTGAAGTTGAGTTCATTTGAAATTATACCAGGGCAATTCCCTTTAACTATGCTGAAGAGCTGTGACAAAAGGCTGGGAAAATCGATTAAGTTGCTACCCAGCTTTTATAAAGATTACCAGCCAAGCCACTCTGAGAAAAGTGAACACGCCAAAAATATCCTCCTCAGAGGATTCTATGACATGTCGAAAAACACGTGTAAACATCTTTAGATACAGTTAAGGCTGTTTTTTAAAATTAATTCTCTTAAGATATAGTCTACACTTCTCCTCTTAAACTAGGTATAGTTAAAGTCACCAGGACTTGCTTCCTCTTTTAAACAGTTGAAATGAACCTTAGAATTCAATTTCCCCTTGCACTACAGAGTTCATGTTTGCCTTTCAATACACGTGGAAGGCAGATAATATGACAGACTTCATGCATGCTTTTCAAAGACTGCAATCATTTCTTTAGGAAGAATATAAAAAGTATAGTTGCTGGATAAATCGGAAAAGTCACTGAGAGACAAGTGTAGATGATAGTGTTTGGTTTTGTTATATTTAGAGGTTAAACAACCCTTCCGTGGCACCTCTATCCTCTCATGTCAATGGGAGGATAAATCAGGAGAAAATCAAGCCATCAGAGACCCTAGATGCTAAGTGACAGTGTCACATTGCCCAATGGACAATTTTGTGTCCTTTCTTCCGGAAAAAGCCCTTTGTAATTATAATCCAGTGACATACAGCCAAGACAAGTGAATACCTTCCAAACAGGTCTCCCCTCCATCAGGCTAGCTTATTCCTGACAGCAGAGCGCGTCTGCGCTTCAGCTAACTGGGAAGGAGCCCAGAGCCCTCTCCTTCCCTTTGCACCAAAGAAAACAGCCGAGTTGTCAAGATCTAAAAAGTTGTCATTTTACATCAGAAGGAATGAGGTGACTCAACACGTAATATTCTAACAGGAACGTGTGTGCTGACTGTAAACCTGTCATCATTAGCAGCTGCTTTGAGGCGCCCTGTGATCTCACGCACTTGAAACCTGGTTTAGACAGACATTTTCTCATTGTAAGTTGCTGTGTAAGAGTTTTGCTAGGGAACTTACTGTCATATTTGATATAATAGGCAATGCATTGTCTTTACAATACAGGTGGGAGGCAGGGGGCGGTTGGATTTCACCATGTCTGTTTTGATTGTATCAGGCTGGATTTAATAAAAGCTCTGATCGACTTGGTAATGGGA